CACACTCTGCTTCCGTTAGCCTTATTTCCCTTTTCAACAGTTATTCAAGGAGAAATCAAAGACAGGCTACTAAAAGTATTACTGTTTGACCAGGGAGTCTACATCAGAGTGTAGCTTCAAAAGAAGTGAAAGCAGGGACTGAAAATATGTGTGTGCAACAGTGTTGTTAACATCCCCCTCCTCCTTCCTTTCTTACTCTTCCTCATCACTCTCCAGGGCTTGGATCCAAGGCCTCAAACTCTAGGCAAGTGCTCTTCCACTGATCTGTACTCCCTGGCCTTAGCAACATAATTCACGATAGCTAAAGGGTAGCAGCAATCCGAGGTATGAAACCATAAGGGAAATCAGATGTCAGTTTGCAATGGACTGCTATTTAGATAGGAATGGGATTTGGATGTATGCTGCTAGATGAATGAACATTAAAGGCATTATGCTAAGTGGAGTAAGCCAGTCACAAAAGGAGACATCCATAGCAATAAAAGAAGATGGTGGTTGCTGAAGCCGGGGAGCTCGGGTTAGTTGGGTACAGAGTTTTAGTCTAGAGATGCACAATCATTGGGGCTTCCAAAACAGTGTGAATGTACTTGATGCCACTCAACTGTACATCTTCAAATGGTTGAAGTATAAAGTTTATTTTGTACATATTTTATCACAGTTAAAAAAAAAAAACAAAAAAAAAACATTGTCTTCAAGGAGTTCTAAAACCAGCATGGAAGAGAATGAAAGTTCATGGTAACTACATGGTATAGAGATAGAGTTGTCACTTAGCCGAAGGCTATAGAGGTGCCCTGTGCAGTTTAGATGGCTGAACCTTCCATCCTTATGCATCAGTGGGTCTATGAGCCCATCAGACACACCAGCAGTGTCTCATTTGTCTGATCAACTGCATACTTGACTACTTGACAACATGAAGGTGTCATAAATGAAATCCTTAGGCTGAGGATGTAGCTCAGTTGGTACGGGGTGGGGGGGGAAGGTGCCTAGCATGCATTGCTGTGGGGAATTCACCAGAGATGCCTCAGATAAGGGTTTAAGCCAATAGAAAGTCTTTATCAGCCAGCTGCTGACTACATTAGGTGTTGGGGATCCCAGTGTAGCACTGAGCATTTCTCAGGATGAGCTTTTCAACACAAGAGCCATGCTCTGGGTTGGTATACTTCAGTTAACAAGAACAGTTAGGCAGAAGCAGAACTACAGAAGCCAAAAAGCAATGTTAGTGTACTCAGGGACTTTCCCAGAACTATGAACTTTGATGGATTAGGCTTTTGTTTTAGTTTTGACGGTGATGCTGTCTATATGCTTAGTTTTAAAGCCTGAGTGACACTTCCATCATGTAGTCAGAAGTCTGGGGACCTACCAAGGTCTGGGATCCTGTTACATGCATGAAGCTCTGGGTTTGATTCCCCACATAAAACCAGGCATGATGGTACATGTCTGTAATCCCAGTACTCCAGAAAATTGTCCAGAAAGATCAGAATTTCAGTGTCATTCTTGCTACACAGTAAGTTTAAGGTCAGTGTGTGCTACATGGGACTCTTTCTCCAAAAGTGTGTGTGTTTCAGGGGTGGTTGTCTGTTGGGGGCAAATTTTGTATGGTTTTGTATGGCTGTGTGAATGTGGGTGTGCATGCATGAAGACAATGGGTATCTTCCTCCATTAATTTCTACCTTAGTCTCTTGCTGAACACAAAGCTCATCAATTGGCTAGGATGGCTGGTGAACTCCAGGGATCTACCTGTTTCCACCTCCCACCCCCACCCCAACTCCTCCATCCTATGCTGGATGGAGAAGCAAGTCATGGTGCCAACCTTCTTACATGTGTGCTGTGAATACAAATGCAGGTCCTTATGCATTCATGGAAGATATTTTATTGACTGAACCTAATCCATCTTTGAGGTCTGCCACTACTACTACTACTACTACTACTACTACTACTACTACTACTATTCACACTATTCACACACACACACACACACACAGAGAGAGAGAGAGAGAGAGAGAGAGAGAGAGAGAGAGAGAGAGAGCCCTAAATAGACTTTTTACAATTCAGCATCCTTTATCCCTACATTCTTACAAGTTTTGGGGTTGTCTTCCCAACTCTGTATAAGAGCCCTGTTTCTACTAGTTGCCCTGAGCAAAATTTTGACTCATTTTTGATCCCACTGCTCATGCCCTACATCCTTTTACTAGTGAGTCCTCTTCTTGTGAACATGACCACTTGCTCTACCACCATGGTTTCCTCTAAGTCAGGGTTTTCCAGAGAAGCTGAATCAATAAAGCAGATACAGGGAGCTGTCCTATACATATGCCTTTTGCATTGTAAGGAATTGACCCAGGCATTTATGTAAGTCTCAAGAGCTTCACTCAAGAGACTGGAGACCCAGAAGATGTAATCATGCAGTTCTAAGCTGATCCTGAAGGCCGGAGGAGCAGGGGAGCCAATAGGAGAGTTCCAATCTGTGCCTAAGCCCCAAAACAAGAAGATTCTAAGGTCTCATTTCAAAGACAAGCAGACAAAGGAATTGACCCTTTGCCTTTTTGTCTAATTCAGGCCTTCAGGAGCTGGAATAAGGTTCAGTTGCATTGGGAGAGCAATTTGCTTTACTAAAAATCACCTTCATCGTCATACCTAGAATAATGTCTGGGTACTCTGTGACCCAGTCAAGTTGAGACTTAAATTAACTGCCACTGTTTCATAATGTATCCATGTAGGGAGACACTATTCACCATAATATATCCATGCACTTATCTGTCTTTTAATCTATCCTCAGCAGAAGCATGGAGGGTGAAGAAGCCATGGCATGCCATCCTTCTGCTAGAAATTCTTCAGCATATTACATCTCAGTGGAAGCCGAATTGAGGCCATGAAGACCCACATGTCGCCTCCCAATCTTTATCCCACCCTCTGTTACTCTATCTTTTGCATCCCTTCTGCATTGATGGTTCTCTGGAAGGCAAGTATGGTCCAGCTACAGGGTCTTGAAGTCTGCACCTTCCTAGATCCCAAAGGTCCTCATCAAAGTACACACAGTACTGTTTCATCCCTCAGAACATACAGTGCCCATTATCCTTATTCTAGTTCTTTTTTTCAAATAATCAGTGCTAGGGGTTGTGGGTCAGTGATAAGACACTTGCCTACCATACTGAAGGCCCTCTGTTTGCACACCAGCACAAGTTTAAGGACTATTTTTAGAACAGTTTTAGATCTACATACACACAACTGATGTTGCCCCATATATTCTTCTCTAAGTTCCCCGTCTATCACAATCTTTCCATTAACAGATTGATCCTGGCTGATAAGCCAGCCTCCCCACTTCATCGATAACTACATTACCCCAGTGGTTTTTTGTTTTGTTTTGTTTTCAAAGATTTATTTCTTTTTATTTTATTTGTAAGAATGTTTTGTCCTCGTGCCCTGTGTGCCTGGCACCCACAGAGGCTAGGAGAGGCATTGGATCCCCTGGAGCTGGAGTTACGGATGGTTGTGAGCTACCATGTTGGTGCAAGAGCATCAACTGTTAGACTCTTTGTTTTTGTTTAGCTCCATCTCCCACTTCCCACGCCCCAAGAGACCATTTTTAGTTTCCCGGTTGCCTTCTTCTGTGGCAGTTTAACTTTTCCCTTTGTTTGTTTATGACCTTTTGACAGGTATGGGTAATATTGGTCAGGCATTTGACGGAGGGTTGCAAATGCCTGAATTTGTGCTTGTGGAGGCCAGAGGCAACCTAAGACTCACGGTCAGGATATCATTCACCTCCTTTGAAACCAGGTCTCCTACTGGTGGGGAGCTCACCAATGATTCAAGCCTGGCTGGCCAGGCAGCCCCAGGTGTGTGCCTATCCTCACCTTACCAAAGTTTGGCATGGATCAGCAGGCACAATATTTTTCTGGGGGTTCTAGGGAATCTAACTTAGATCCTCAAGCTAAAGGGCAATCACTTTACCCCGGAGCCACCTCCCAGGCCGGTAGCTAGGGAGACTTAAAGGGTTTCTGGACTTCATTTGGTATGCCCTTCATGATAAGACTGGGGTGTGGAGGAGAAGAGCCTCAGGAGTAAAGTTCCATCTCCACCAACATATTTATATTTATTTATTTATTTATTTATTTATTTATTTTCGAGACAAGGTTTCTCTGTGTAGCTTTGTAGACTCACAGAGGCCATCCTGCCTCTGCCTCCCGGAGTGCTGGGATCAAAGGCAAGCACCACCTCTGGCCGGCTCCCATCAGCATTTTCAGAGCACACATCCCCAGTGTTCTTTCTGGCCTTGAGCACTGGGTGAAGTGCATGCCAGCTCTGTGTGGTAAAAACTAGCCCCCACCCCTTCCTACTATCCTTTGTTGGGGGCAGTCCCTTCCCAGAGTGCAGAGACACGCGTCGTTTCCATGAGAATGGAGTTTCTGCCTCAGTTACCTGAAATTGCTCTGCCTGAGAGATTGTTAGCCATCTATTCACATTAGATGGATAACTTCTGAGAGACTGTCAGCCATCTATTCACATTAGATGGATAACTTCAGTTACTTTCTCGTACTATCTTGTCCCTGAAATCCTTCCGGCTTTGAGCACTCCGAGCTCTTTTGGTGGCTTCCTGGCACCAATGCGCCCCTTTTGATGGTTAGTTTTCACTTCGTTTGTCAATCTGTTTTCCACCCCCTCACCGAGCACCCCCCTTTCTGTTTCTGAGTCACCAGTAGGGTGCCAGGAATATTCCTATGGGCGCCCCACTGACAGCAGGTGGGAAAGGGCTGGTAGAAGGCGGGGCTCAGTGTCTCCGTGAGCTCTAGCCTCCGGTTAAGCCTTCGCTAGTGTCCTGGTTTGCGCAGCCACACCCACGCCCAGAAACGGTTTCTAGCATCCTAGCCTCGGAAATGTTCTGGACTGCAAATGTCATCTGCGTTGGTGGGGTTTCCCCGGGGGAAGTCCGACGGATCCCGCCCTGTCCATCTCTCCATCCCAGAGCGGGAGGGAAGACAGAGAAAGTTCCCGGGTGGTCCACGCTCCCCACCCCCACCCCTGACCCCGCAGCATCTGGCGGAGCTTAGGCAGGGAAGGTGGCTCGTGCCTAGGCTCCCGGCAACCTGCAGCGTGACGACTGCAGTAGGGTAAGGAAGCCGCGCGCCTAGCGGAGGACGTCTCCGGGGCGGGGCCTGGTCCCCAGCTGTGCGGCCTCAGAGCGCCGGGGGCGGGGACAGTGGCGTCCAGATGCGGTCGGGGTGGCGCAGATCTCACTCCGCGCCTGAGAAGCACAGCCGGCAAGAAGCGCAGGGAGCAGGGCCGCCGGGACACGCGCACCCGGTTTCCTCCGGGCGTCCCGTCGCTGGATCAGCGCCCCACCGGATCACGGTTCGTTTTGTCGCACGAGTCCACTAGGCTCTCTAACTTTTTCGGCATCGAGGACGTGGGCAGGGGGTTGGCTGGGTTGGAGGGATCGCGCTGACCCAGGATGGGATGCTGAACAGCAGCAGGTGGTTTTGGGGTGTGGTTCTCTCTGCGCCTCTAGATGAGGCTTTGGGTTTCTCATGTAGAGCCGAAAGCTTTTTAAATGTTCGAGAGTATAATGCTTCATCAGAAGTGCTTCAGAAATGACGACTGTAGACTGACTTTATAAAGGTACCCGAGACAACTTTTGTTTTCAATCGAGAGGTTGAGTTTTGTTTTATTCTGTCTTATTGAATGGTTTGGTTGCCACTTTCTCAAACACATCAGAACCGGCACTTCTTGACTTGAACTTGACAGTATGACTCAGGAGCCAGGAAATACAGGAACATCGATACCTCCTCGTAACAGCTCCCACAGAAGACACTGAGGAGTTGTTTTTAGGAGAGAGACCTGATAACTTTGCTTAGAGAAACACGCTACGGAATTCTGTCAGCTTCTGGGCTCCACGAACACCAGCTGAGACCTGTGCTTTACTTCCTGTGGCCCTCTCACACTTGTTCGAGCCATTTCTCAGCAGAGGGAGGAGCTGTTGTTTCTACACGGGTATCCAAAAATGAGTCACAAGGCTGCTCTAATTGCGAGACTTTGTTAATAAGCCTTTGAAAAGTGATGTTGGATCCCTGTGCTTAGAGTAAGACCAGCAAATGAGACCGGTGCTGTCAAACTGGGGCAGGCGGCCTAGGAAGTAACTATTCAAGTTTTCAGTTTCCTAAAGCGTCTGATGGGACAACATGCCAGCCAGGGTCACTAGGCTGATCTGAGATAGCCCTTAGAATCACGTGCTTTGCCGCAGAAGCTCAACAGAAAATTAATTTCATTATCCAATAACCATTTGGTTGTTCTTTTCACTGCTTGGTAGGAATGGGACATTTTATGGAGTGATTGTAAGTCATTCTGAAACTAAAAATATTTCAGATAGTTTACTTTTACCACATTAGTGCTCTAAGAAACATTTAGAAGCTTTTGAAGAAGTTCAATGGTTGCTGGAGCCAGACATTAAGATGTTGAGTCTCATGTGTCTGAATAGTGGCTCTCAGAAATGGACTTCCCTATCCAGAAGGAAGGGACACGAATAACTGTACCTATCTAGAGACAGGAATAACTGTACCCTAACTGAGCTGATATCAGCCCTAGACAGCAGTTACAAGGCTCTGGTCTGCTCCAGCCTCTTCACCAAGTTCCATGTATACGACCATGGACACAATGCTATCCTGGCAGCTAGGACCATAGCTGAGCAGACTTGGGGAAATCCAACATCATGAGATGTGTGCTATGAGAAATCTATACACAAAGGAGGTGCCCCGGCAGGGGGTGAGTTGAAGCCTTGAGTTTCAGAGTGTCCTGGAACATTGCTGGGACAACAAGAGAAGGCTTGAGTTCCACCCACCTACTTGTCTTTGTGGGCAGCCTGGTTTTCATTCAATATGTAGTTTAAAGGCACATTAGTGAACATGGCTTTTAAGTGTTTGAATTAACCATGTTTCATGTTACTTAGTAGCTGTGTAATGAATGGTAAATGCAGTCTGTTATCACTCCTAGGCGGTTGTGGCCACTCTTAGTTATGTGTCCTTTTAAAAAGACTATTAATGGGTGGTTCCTAACTGTAGACCACTAGATCGAAGCAACCTTCTGCTCATGGGTGCATACAATTGTTGCTCCTCATCTGAGGGGTTGACTTGACTTTCATGACTTTAGTTACCTAAGTTCTGATACATTAAGTAGAAAATTCCAGGGATAGTAATACACTTTGATTTATTTTGAGACATGATCTCACTGTTTATCCTGTGCCTGGAATTCACTATGTAGACCAGACTAACATAGAATTCATGAATAGCTGCCTGCTTCTACCTCCTGAGTGTTGATAGTAAAAGTGTGTGCCACCGCACCTGCCAGTAAGATACTTCAAGAGAGGGGGTGCATTCATACCAAATTAATGATGCTATATTTTTAATTGTTCTCCTATTAATTCTCATTTATCTCTTACTGTGAATCATTTATGAATTTAAACCTTATCTTAAATATATGTGTACAGGGAGCAAGATAAGTAGGAGTCAAGTATTCATCAGCATCTCTTGTGCAGGATCCCTAAGGATTAAGGAGGACCAAACATTCCAGTCCTCTGAGGTAGCTAAGTAGTAAAGGACAACTGCTCAACTTAAAACAGCTTTAATCTCTACATTTCATCTCTCCCTCTGCAGCTGCAGAGTCATGTCTTCTATAAGAAATAAAAGATAAAGTGTGTTAAGCATTGTGTTCCTGAGCTTTGGCACGGGTTTGACTTATGATGGTATAAAGAGGTTTTTTTTTAAACAATGAACCTGACTATAGATGAGGGTTGCCCAGGAACTGGAAGGGGTAGGTGACACAGTAGAAGGAACAGCAGTACCGAGGACTAAAACAGTATTCTGTGGTCAGGAAACTCCAACTTGTTCCCTGGGCTTGGGGGAGAGCTGAGGGGAGGGCAGAAAGATGAGGGTGGAAAGACAGAACAGGATCCCAAAGGCCCAAGTGCCACATAGGCTCCAGGACGTTATTCTGTGGGGTCTCTGAGAAAACAGACAGCATCCGATATATGTTTAAAAGGAGCAGGTACTAAGAAAATGGCTCAGTCAGTAAAGTGCTTCCCACACAAACTTGAAGATTTGAGTTTGATCTCCTGCACACGTGTAAAAGGTGGCCCAACAGCTGTCACCTGTAATCTAAGCACTGGATAAATGGAGACAGAAGGTCCTAAGACTTCCTCACCTTCCGGTCTACCTATCCAGTGAGAGAACTTAGATACTCATGTCAACCTCTGACCTCCACAGGCATGCCAACACATGTGTGCCCCCCCATACATGAAGATGTGCACACAGACACACAAATAAACACAAACACACACCCCAAGAACAGATTGGCTGAGAACTGTGTGGTCCTAGGGAGAATGCTGTAATATTGAGATGGGAACATGAACAAAGCTGCAGTCAAGTGGTGGTGAGGCATGGAAATGAAGGAGGGCGCTGATAGAACTCACATTGTATAACACACAGAACCCAGCTGCCTCTTGAGAAGTGGGCCATGAGGAAGGGGGGAGAAGAGTTAAGATGATGATGATGCCTGTAATTCTGGTTAATGGCTGGAAGAGGTGCATCCCACCCAATGGAAGAGTTGGTGGAAGCTAAAGGATGATGAAGAGCTCACACACTACTTGGCATGTAAAGTTTTACATGCCTTGGTAACATTTTGACCAGTTAGTTTTTGTGAACTTGACACAACCTAGAGTCACCTGGGAAAAGGGAGCCTCAGTTAAGGAGTTCCCTCCATCAGGTTGACCAGTGAGCATATCTGCGGGACATCTTATTGATTAACAATTGATAAGGAAGGGCCCAGTCCACTATGGGCAGCACCTCCCCTGAGGAGGTAGTCTTGGGTTGTATTTTAAAAGCAAGCTGAGCAAGGAATGGAGAGCCAGCTAGTAAGGAAGATTTCTTCATGGTCTCTACTTCAGTTCCTGTTTCCAGGTTCCTGCCTCAAGCTCCTGACCCATCCATCAGTGACAGGTTATGACCTAGGACATGTAAGCCAAACACAGTCTTTCTTCTGTTAGATTGGTCTTGGTCAGTGTTTTAGCATAGCAACAGAAACCAAACTTGGGACAATGTACTGAGTACTTATGTGGACCAGGAAATATTCCAGACTCAATAACTAGATTAAGTCTTTTATTCCTCACTGGAATCCTGTGATAAGTTCTCTTACTACTTTAAGGAAGGTTAATGGTTGACAATGAAGGATAAATGGAAATTTATCCCAAGCACCTGGCTCCATGGTTGTCATTATTGAACTATTCTACACGCCAATGCTCTTTTCTGAAGAAATAAATAAATAAATAATGTTTTAGACTTTGTGCTAAACTCAAGTCGCCATTGTTTCTTCTTCTTCTTTTTTAATCATAACAATTCTTCCTTGAGCAAGAATAGCTCCAGTCATAATATGAACACTTCATGGCCCCTAGTTTGCTGTGTAGCATCTTTCTCCTGCTTTCCTCCCAAGAAACAAGTGATCCATCTAGGAATATAACAGGGGTTATCATAAATTGCTCCAGTGTGGTGGTTTGAATGAGAATGGCTTCCATAGGCCCATGTATTTGAATCCTTGGTCCACAGTTGGTGGATCTATTTGGAAAGGATTAGAAGGTGTGGCTTTATTGGAGGAGGCATGTCACTGGGGGTGAGATTTAAGGCTTCAAAGGCCTATGCCATTCCCAGTTAGAGCTCTGGCTCTCTCTCTCTTGCTCTCTCTCTCTGCCTCATGGTTGTAGATCAAATGTGAGTTCTCAGCTACTGTTCCAGCACATGCCTGTCTGCCTACTGCCATGTTCCTCACCATGGTGATGATGGACTAACTATCTTTATGGAGACTCAGGGCACCTGAAGATTCTCAGAGGTCTGGACTACAGAGCTGCTTTTTTTTTTTTTTTTTTTTTTTGGTTTTTGGGGACAGGGTTTCTCTGTATAGCTTTGGAGCCTATCCTGGCACTCGCTCTGGAGACCAGGCTGGCCTCGAACTCACAGAGATCTGCCTGTCTCTGCCACCCGAGTGCTGGGATTAAAGGCGTGCGCCACCAACACCCTGCTTCTTAAGTACTAAATGCTCTGCTTTCTGCATTTCCTGCTTCTCTGATGTGTTTGGTCACTAGAAAGACTGGCTAGGGCCCCGGGTACTAATCAACAGGTTGTGGGTCACATGGTGTAAGAATCACTAACAAATGCAGTCGGGGGCATAAAAAGTCCAAATCTTACATTCCTGGCTTATGATCTGCCTGCTGATGCCTATTTCTTCTTGGATGGACTCTAAAACAGGTACTCTCCTGCCTCTAACTCAAAGAATCTCACACAGTGTACAAATCCTGCTGCACCCTTATCCTC